CTTGCTTCTACAGTTCGGACTCATATGTCACGGTTCTAAATCTAATCCCGCAAAGTGCAATGCGAAACCGATAAATCACCAAAGAGTCCAAATCCGGCAAATCGTTTTGGAAAACTGATTTTTAAGAGAGAAGTGCCAAACATGGACTGCTTTGCCAGATACAGAGTCGCCACCTAAATGTTTTATTTTGGAAAATTTAAGAAACCCTGACTCGTGCCTAAGGCTACGTGTCTGTCATCACCAAAATTGCCACAGCTCGAGAACTTGGGTACGATTGGGGAAGGTCATCTATGAGCAACCCCGCTCGCCTGATCAAAGATCAGCCTGTACTAAGCATGATATTTTATTTTTGAAAACACATGTGTTCTTATTCCGGTTAATTAGCTAGAATTACTATGTGATGCGCACAACACACAAGTATAGACTAGATTGCCTAATTTGGAACAAAGCATCGCATATTCGTTTGTTTGGAAATGATTTGAAGTTTGCTACTCGTGAGAAGGCTAAAATGCAGATTTCAATGAATTGTCCCAATTCAAGTAACCCAACCTTCACCCATAGGCATTCAGGCAGTTATATTACATAAGCAATTAGCCTCATGGCAAGCATGCTGTCATGGCAAAACTCACACCCATGTAAGATGCTAAAGTATATAAAATCATAGTGTACTCTGAGCCAAAACAATAGCTAGTTAGAAATCAATGCATGATCCTAGCTATGTTAAGATGGCTAATGCAACACATGCAAAATGCAACTAAAATAGGCTCGGCTATTCTAAGAATGGCATGTGAAATGCGACAACTCGATACACGTATTCAAGTTGGAATTGAAATACTATGCGGTTAGTATGATGCGCCGAGCCCGATGCATGCAATACAAATGAATGGATGCAAACATGCAAGCATAAAGATGCTAATTGAAACATGACCTAAAACTAACCATTGAAAGCAGGTAAGTAAAAGGGAGAAAGGCGTGGGGTTGGAAGACATTCACACACACGCACACACTTATTACAAAGTTCGCCCTCTCGACGGAGGGTCCGAAAAAATAATACAAATTGACTAATTAACTAACTAACTAGCTAATTAATTATTACACAACACTTAACTAATTAAACAAATTAATTAAGCTACTAAAGTGATAAAGAGGCCTCGGAAAGAGGGACAAATGCATGCATGTTCGGCTCCGCTCGGAAATCTATCGCTATGCTCATGCTGCCTCTGTTTACACTGCTCTGCACCTCTGAAAACTGTGCAAGTCTCAAGGATGCTTCTAAATTGCCTTCTGGGTGCTGTGAGAGGCCATCGACCAAGTGGAAAGGCCATCGACCAAGGGGAACTAGTCATCGACCAATAATGGAGCCCTCAGACATAAATTTGTAGCCGACCGGCATTGAAGATGGCCAACCGGCCATCTCTTCCTGCAGAATGCTATTTTGCTGCAACAGAGGACAAACAGAGCATGGCAATGCATTTTCAAGGCAATGTGTGCACAAGCACCCTCCCTATCATGTCATGAACTCAAGGGAGTACGGTTCTCAATCCTCGGGCCATCAATCACACATTTCAACGCATGATGGCCAAAGGAGCCAAGTGTGCAAATCAATATGGAATAAATGCACAAAACACATGAAGGCCACACACTCTGTCATGTTGGATCAAGAGCGTAGTGTCGGCGACTAAGGATTGAGGGACGTCTCGTCACTTCAAGTACGAACATTCCTCGCTCCTCGTGTTTGGTTTGACACCCCAAACCAAACACAATGTAATGCAAGCGAGTATGCCAAATACAATGCAACATGGAAATGTAATGCTATGCAACCTAAGCATGCACAAGGCTAAGGTAACAAGCATGCCAAATGTAATGCAACCTAATCAAGCATGTGACAAAATGCAAACTAGCAAACTAGCAAACATGCAATGTAATAGGCATGCGACAACAATAGCAATAACAAGGATGTGACAACATGCAATGCGATAAGCATGCAACGACACACAAACCGCATGATCCATGGACTTACATTGAAAATGGATAGGCCTCAGCCACACCAAAACAGTGGCCAAAGTGATGAATTAAGGCACCGAAAGGGCAAAACACACATGCACACACATTGATCCATAAACTATGCAACAATGCACAATCCTTAAACATGAGAGAGATGTGATAAACATGAGAATGTGACAATGCAATAAGCTCTGAAATCATGCAAGGAGTGGTGTCAAACCACTCAAACAAATCGGGTAAAGCACGCAAGGAGGCTCAAAGCTTAAGGTTTACCAAGGGACTCACACTATGGCCATATTAACCAAGCCCCAAAGGGCCAAGGCGATCCAAAACAGTCCCAAGGCAGTCCAAAAAAAGGTTAGAACATGCATGGGATGAGGCCAAAACATGCTAGAAAGGTAAGCACAAAACAAGACGCATACAAGGCCAAAAGGGGCAATTGCACTACACCTATTACAACCAAAAATGGCATGACTTAGGCCATGAAAAATAGAGTTATAATATGTCAAAATAAGACCCAAAACCCAATGAGATGGCATCCCAAAGACCTAATCATGGAAACATACACAATGACCCAATCTTAAGGCACAAAACAACAACTCTTCAAAGCATTGAAAAGATGGCAAACATAAGTGTGTGGCTACACTACATGGACTGAAATGTGATTTCAAATGATGCCAAATCATGAGAATAGTCAAAACAGTGCATGCTAGCAACTCGGTGCACAAAGCTTAACAAGCTAGGATGAACTAAGGCTATACGAAGAAATGCATATACGATCAAATCAACACCAAACAGAGCTTAAACATGGTGAAACATGACTAAAAACTCCTTTAAGTTGAGCCAAAATATGCAAGCATGATGATCTAAACGCAAGATACATGTTAAGGCAATAGAAGGGATTACAAGGTAAGTACATGGTGCATGCAAGAGATCAAAAAACCAACTTAAAACAGAGGTATATCATGCCAAGATGACACCAAATACTTGCTGAAATGGGGCCAAAACATGCTAAGCAAACATGCTATTATGGTGAGCTAACAATGTAAGCAAATGAGACACAAAGGAAGGGGGGTGTCCCTCCCTTATTCAAGACTTCAAAACCACTTCCCCACCATTGAAAATCCTCTGGATTTTAGTGGTGAGAAGGTCAAAACAAAAAGGTTTCAAAGCTCAAAAAGAAGGTCACAAAATAAGGCCAAACAATGCCTAAGAGGGGGTAGACAACCCCCAACCCAAAAGTAACCTTAAACAAACATATTTAGCAGATAAAAATAGAACTTTTTTACAGTTGGACACTAAGCTTAAAACAGTATGTAAGGATTGCTAAAAGCTTAAGCAAAAATGGGAAATAAAAGAGTAGTTTCTCACCCTTGAAGAACACTTCAAGAACACCAACTCCAGCACCTCCTTCTAATCAAAACCAACTCAAAAACTCTGAAATCAACTCTTTAGCACCTCAGTAACTAAGGGATAGTGTACCACTAGGTGCTTTAGTGCAAAAATATGAACAAAAACACCTTTTTGAACATTATTACACACACAACTATAGAGAGAGGAGATATAGAGAGAGAGTGAGATATATCTTCTATATCAATTGGCTGAACCCCTGGAAAGGGAGAGGAGACTCTCCTTTTATGGAAAATCAATTTTGCAAAGCTTATTGAAGAAGCTAAGCAAGTCTCAAATCCCTCTATACATGTGTATAGAGGGAGGAATTGTGCATGCCAGCTGTGCCAGATGGCACAAAATATCTGCATAAAGCAGATGAACAGGGTTCGGCCAGCAAAAATGGCTGATCGACCAACACACTTGGCCGATGGAAAGAAAACAGGGCCTCAGGCCTTGGCCGGTGGGTTGAGGGCATGGCAAACAAGCTGCCCTCTTCCCTTAGAAGCAAAAACACAAGTGTTTGGTTCACAACCAAGCACAAAATAGACAAGTTGAGAGATCTTGAGGCAAGGCGCGTAGCCGAGACCTCCGAGAACTCAAAACAAACATGAGCATGGATGATCATTGAGTGTTCAAACGATGATGTCCAAGTCTTGAGGACGGTCAAAAATGGGGTGTCTACAGGCTCCTTTCCTCTCCTCTCTCGATCTTTGTCTTCTCACCTCCCTCAATCTCTTTCTCTGTCTCTATTTCTCTTTCTCTATTTCCTCTACTCCCTCGATCTCTTTCTCTCTTTGTCTCTTTCTCTTCAACAGTTAGGGCTTCGATCTACCACATGCGTGTCATTTGCATTCGATTTGTAGATGTTGGATTTGAGATCAAATTACTCTTATTCGTTTGGTTATTTATTGTTGTGGCCTAAGATTTTAAGCTCAAATATGGACCTGGCTAATGTTGTTTTTTATTTGAATGACTTTGATCTGGATTGAACAGATGCAGATCCTGAGCTAGCTAATTCGAAATGCTACAATCTAGAGTTTCTGGTTCTCTTAGATTTAGGGCTTTGATTTGTTATTGACCTGGAGTTCTCTGTATTATCTTTTTCCTTTCCTTTTTCTTTTTCTTTTTTAAAAAAAAAAAATTAGCTAAAGATTTAAAAACTGATGTTAAATTTTTTTCGGATAATTCCAAAAACAGAGGATGGTTACATAATTACCATAATGCCATAGTTTTATATGAAAATATTTTTGTTTTTGGGTTGATTTGCTAGCTTGCTTTTTATGAATCCATATTAAGAAATTAGACCAAGTTATGAGCTTTTTCTCTACATTGAATTGGCTTTTCCTTGAGCTTCTTATAGGCTCATGAATTTGGCAACAAAGTGATTATGATGGGTCAAACAGATTATTGTCATGATGATAATATTGTTAGGTTAAACAGTTTTTTCTCATCTCATGCTTATGTTTCCTGTAGAGCCAACCTTATATTTGTATTGTTTACTCTATTCTGGGGTGGTCTGACCTCACTTTTCTTATAAAAATACAATGACATTCACCATATGTTGTTGGTCCTTATCGAACATCTCTTTAATATTGGATTCATTGCAAGGCAGAAATGTTGATGCCTTGATTTTGTATTGATAAGCTGTGCCCTCTCTGTCTCAGATCCAAATATGATTTTCCTTTGCCCTATAGGTATGTGTATGTGTAGCTCGACTTTTTCGTGCCCCCTTTCGGAAGCTTGAAAGAAGCCCTACAGTTTGGACTCCCACGGTTCCGAATCTAATCTCACAAGTGCAATGTGAAATTGGTAAACACCAAAGAGTTCAAATCCGACAAATCTTTTGGAAAATCAATTTTTGAATAAAAAAATGCCAAAATTGGACTGCTTTGCCAAATACAGATTCGCCACCTAAATATTTTATTTTGAAAAAATTTAGGAAACCCATGACTCGTGCCAAAGGCCACGTGTTTGTCATCACCAAAGTTGCCTCGGCTCGGGAACTTTGGTACGAGACGAAAATGTCATGAATTGAGCACCCCCGCTCGCTCGATCAAACATCAGCCTCTACTAATCATGATATGATTTTTTATTAACATTATATGCTCTTGTTTCGGTTTATTAGGCCAGCATTACTATGTGATGCGCACAAGCAAGTATAGACTAGTTTGCCAGAATTGGAACAATTCAGTTTCATGTTTGCTTTTCGAAAAAGGTTTGATTTTGCCACTTAACAAAGTGGGTTTAAAGTTTGTGAATTTGCCACTTGACAAAGTGGGCTTAAAAATGTACATTCATTATATTGTTCCAATTTAACCAACAAGCCTTCATCTACAAGCATTCAAGCAGGTTAACAAGGAGGTAGAGAACTATTTTTAAAAATTCATCAAAGTCAGGCCTCAGCACAATTTCAATTCTGCGTAATCATGAAAACTCACTCCCAAAATAGCTATGCTTTTGCTTTACTTTACTAAAGCCTCTTTTCATTCCATCTTGTAAACATGATTTAAACTACATAAAAGATCAATAAATTCATGCCTGAAACAATTTAACTACAAATTAAAAATTGAATTGAAAATTTTACCGACTAAGAACTTTTTGTCAAGCTCTCTAGAAATTGAGTGAAGTTCTGCTTAAGGACTTGTACCTCATCGTGTTTTGAATTATTTTGCAGGGGAAGTGTGGTATTGAGAAATAACCTTTTTTTTTAATTATTTTTTTTTTTTTGGGGGGGGGGGATTGCACTAATTGAGACTAGGTGAGGCTTAAGGTCACAATTTTCTGGATAAGGAAAATTGCTTCTACGAATCATCTTCTTCCTTTTATTGGTGCTTTCGCTCTTTCCAAATATTTAGTTAATCGTGAATAGTAGAGTAGAGTCCAATTATATCTTTTGTGCTTGTATAGTATGTTGGTCCTTAACTCTCAAATCTTGGAAGCCCTTTTAACTGTGTCTCTTTGCGATGCTAGCTGTTTAGACATAATTGATAGTTACCTAAATCATTTTGAACTGAAATGACCCAAAAGTGGCTTTGGCAGAGTTAGTACTAGTCGTGGAGAAACATGTGTTAGAATCTGCTTCTCTTGATTCTGTTGTTAAAGCCATATTTTTCTTGTTACCAGATATATTCTTGGTGTTATATGGAAAATTCCATTTTGTCGGGTGTCCAATAATTATCCACTTTATTTTATTTATTTATGTATTTATATATTTTTTGGGGGACTTTTAACCTCTTTTCCCTTTTCCTACTTAACAATAATTCCTCTGTTCCAAGGTATTCTGGTGCCGCATCCTGGAGCTATCGACAGCAGCCCAAGCAAGTCACACCTGGAAATGGGTATGTTGCTATTGGTGAACAATACAGTATATAGTCTGTAATATTATACCACAACGTATTTTCCAAACAGATGATTTGTGCTGCTAATCTCATATATTTTGGTCAAGACGTTCCAAATTTTTTTCATAATTTTTTCTACGAGCTGCAGATACATGAGGCAGTGATGAACACTGAAGACACAATGTGATTGAGAAAATCCTTCAATCTGCTTTAAAATTGTAGTTTAGGATCCACCGGCCCTTTCTGATGAATCGATAGTGAAAGCAATGGAAGCTTCAACACAAGAGCTAACCTTGCGTGCAAGTTGATGATTAGTAGAGCTTACCTTGATTCCATATTTAATAATATTAGTGTTAAACTAAATATTGATGTATGTTTTTGTGCATACTTACCTCGGTTCTCTCCTATCAACCCATGGCACGGTTGGACCAGACTTTAACAAATTGCGACCGGTATAACTCCTAGGTCAGTCTAACTCAAAGGTACCGCCAGACCGACCTATTCAGGAGACATCACCACCGGACCGGAGTAGCTTTACATCATCTGGGCCGAAGTAATAATACCCCTCCTGAGCCGGAGTAACTATACCTCTTCGAGGCCGGAATAACATTACAGCCTTTTAATAAGTCCTTCATACTTGGGGCCACAAAGTCCATTTCTTAGCTCGGCCCAATTTTTCCCAAAAATTACCCTCTCAATTGCCCCTTAATTCCATCTGTGCAACATGATTGGGATTACCAGCCTTCTGGCCGAGCTAGAGTTTGTTACGCTTTTTCAGCCGAGCTAAAAAACCCTTTTAGCCTTTCCAGCCGAACTAAGTTTACCTCGGGTATCACTATGTCCGGTCAAAACGTCTCTTCAATCACAGCGACTGTAACGCTTCCCATTCCAGTGACACGTGGCAAACTCTGATAAGCTGTGGCCAACTGTCATGCCGCCCTTCAGAATTGTTGTACTGTTCCCGCTTCTTTTTGCCGCCTTTTTCTCTCCCTTCTTTCACAAAACAACCTTTTTACTCTTTCTCGAATTACTTCACCTTCCATTCTTCATTTTCTCTTCTCCTCTGTTTCCTGAGTTTTTGAGCTTTGAGCTTACTGTGTTCGTGCTTCCGTTGCTGCTACTGCTCCATCTTCAGCTTCTTCTTCTCCAATCTGGTAAGCAAGCCTACCTTTCTCGCTTTTTTTATTTGTTTTTCCATCTGTTTTTGTTTTGTATGCTTTTTGCAAACATTTTTCTTCATTTTTCTGCTTTGCTTTCGTACTTTGATGAAGAAACCTGTATAACCCATGAGTATATGTCATATACCCTAGAGAAAACTCGATTTTGAACCAGAATCACATCCCAACCGAACTAGGATACTGTTTGTGTTATGTATGTAGATAGATTTCGGAGAACAACCGAACTAGGACTTGTAGGAATATCAGTAGTTTCTTCCGAACCACTCTAGCCAAGATAAGATCACCGAAAAAATGTGCACATACCGAACTAGGTACTTCGGTCAATAACCGAGCCAAGCCTTTCGGGGCCAAGCCGGCTTTCTTAGCTCTTAAACCGAACTCAGAAAACCGCCCTAGGGGTTCAACCGAAGTAACTTTCCTCATACTGCAACCAATTTAAGCCTTGGGACTAAACCAGCTTTCTTAGTTTTTTAGACCGAACTCAGAAAGCTGCCCCTAGACGTTAAACCGGTCTAGACTGCTCAAAACCGAGCTAACAAACCTTCTGATGGGCCGAGGTAGAACCAGCCCACTAAGCCGAAGTAGGATTTGTATATCTTGCTTATAATTTGTAGCGCGGTCCCACGATCTGTGCTTAACCCCTTTGTTTTCTACCTTGCAGACTTAGGTTGCCCAGGCACTCCTGCGTGTGCTCAACCGAGCTACTGAGCCAAATTTTTGTACCGAAATAATTTATTCGTAATTTATTCACCAGATGGGTAAGTATAGATATTTAGTCGAAACCCCTGGTGGCATGGCCGAATTTAGACAAGATTACCAGATTCCTGATGATGTCCAACTGGTGTTGGCCAAGAAGGATGCTACTCCCTGGGACAATGAAGGCTCCGTCCCTTTTACCCTTCAATCCATAATAGAAACCGGTCTACGGTTTCCTGTCCAACCGTTAATCTGTGAATTCCTTCGGCAGACTAGGTTGTGCCCCACCCAATTGTCCACCAACACATATCGCATTATTATGGGCATAGCCGCACTAAACCATCAAACCGGTTTAAACCTTGGCCTAGCCGAAATATTTCATCAGTATTCCATCGGTTCGAAGAATGCTGGGTGGGTTTATTACCTTAGGATTTGCCGCCGCCGAGAGAAGATAATTAAGCACACACCGGACAAAGACCTTAATGATGATGACTTCTTCTGGGTCTCTGGGAATTTCGAGGATTTTCAAGCCCAAATTCCAGGCCGACCTATAAATTGGAAAATGGGAGAGCCTGGTAATTTAACTTCGGTCTTCTTCCTTGCATTTTATTTCGGTTATTCAGTCCATTGACCGAACTAACACTTCTCTTTTTTGCAGATTTCGCCCATCTCCGTTCCCTGTACAGTTATCCCAACCTTGCAGTCCTGCGAGCCGCACTTCGGTGTCAAGAGAGGAGTTGGGCTAAGCTTTTGAACTTTGAGCCGACCTACCGGTATAGCGGTCGCCGAAAAGCCAAGGTAACCGATTTTCTTCTTGAGGAAGCACCGGAACCGGACCCAACTTTACCTGAGATAAGACTTGTTCCATTAACTGCTGAGGAAGAAATGGCAAAGAAGAGCAGAGTCAGGGCCCTTCTAACTTCAACAACCAGAGCCGAAGTACAGCCATCCGTCGAGGTGCAGCCTGCCGTTGTGGCCCTCCCTTCTCAGCAGCCCTCTTCTTCTCGCCCTTCCAAACGCGCCCGACCTACATCGACCGAACAGCAACTTGTCGATGAGGTTGAATCCATCCCCCAGAGCCCTCAACCTTCCCCTCAACCGGAGCAAACTGACCGAGCTGAATCTCCGAAGTAGGCTCCGCCGCTGACCTTCAACGACCGAAACATCAAAGCCACTGACTCGGTCGTAGCCGAAAAAGACCACCAACTGGCCTTTAACCTGGCCAAAAGTGTGTGCCTCCCCAAGGACATGGAGCACCACTTGAAGCAGCTGAACACCGAAATGAAATCAATTCGGTCTGCTTCCAAGTCCATGATCTTGGTAGGTAGCTCTGTTGTTTTTTCTGTCTAAATTTTTCCAACTTTTACTTCGGCTGAGAAGAAATCTTTGTTTTGCCAGGCCTTGCAAAAGAACAATATCACTTATAGGAAAGTCCAAGAACTCCGCAAGACCACAAGGCAAGCGATGGCGGAAGCCGAAGCAAAGGCGGCCGAACTACTAGATGCCGAAAAGAGAATGGCCGAGCTAGAAGCGGAGAACGGTCGTCTTGCCGATCTAGTTAGTTCGGCGGAAGCGGAGAAGCAGAAAGCAGCCATCGTTATGAAGGACAAGTATCTGCGGGAGTTGTTGAAGCTTGAGAAGAGAAAGGACGCCGAAATAAGCGAACTAAAAAAGAACATGGAGGCGGCCGAAAAGGAGGGGTACAAGCGAGGTTACAAGGAGGCAGAGGAGGCCTATGTCAAACAATGCGACGCCGCCAAGGAGCTTTTCTTCAAGTGCGGCTGGAGGGCGGCTGTGGAGAAGCTCGGTCATGATGAACAGACCGAGGTTTTCGACCCTCCAGCGTACTTTATACCGAAGTCTCTTGCGGCGTATGCAGATACCTTGCAACAAGAGTTCCTGGAGGACTCTGACACTGATGACTCTTCTGCTCCTGAAGACATTCCGGTTGATGGCGCCGACCCATCACTTCGGTTGGAACCCATGGTAGAGGACCTTCCTAACGAGCAGCCGAATGAAGACGTGGTTCCAACCGAAGGAATCATGGCAGCCGAGAATGAGCTTCCTCTTGAGACCGGTCTCCGAGTTGGTGATGATGCAGCTTTTGACACCGAAATAGATGAACTTTTTTCTTAATTTTGCACTCTGTTCTTTGTAACCGAACTAAGTCCCTTTGTAATGACTTTTCTTGCAATGAAAATTTTACTTCTCTTATTCCGGTTGTTGTGTGTATGCTTGCATTTGTAATGTCTTCTATTACCCCAACTTCTATTTCGGTTTTGGCTTTTTAATCTATGCTTACCAGCCAACCACTCCTTAGCCGATATACTTACTTCGGCTAAGGAGTACAAAGTGTTTGGTTAATTCCAGCCAACCACTCTTCAGTCATGCACTTACTTCGGTTGAAGGGTAACAAAAGTTGGTTTATTCCAGCCAACCACTCTTCAGCCTTGCACTTACTTCGGCTGAAGAGTAACTAGAGTTGGTTTATTCCAGCCAACCACTTTTCAGCCTTACACTTACTTCGGCTGAAGAGTAACTAGTGTTGGTTTATTCCAGCCAACCACTCTTTAGCCTTACACTTACTTCGGCTGAAGAGTGACTAGTGTTGGTTTATTCCGGCCAACCATTGAAGTTAGTTTTTCCAACTAACCTATAATATTTGGTTATTCTGACCAAATGTCCTGCAGCCTGAATCTTTATCCTGGGCTTAGGAAGGGTGTTGGTTTATTCCAGCCAACCTCTAAGTTAGTTTTTCCGGCTAACTTAGAATGAAAATGCTTGCACTGTGCCTCATCTTTACTAAAGCTAATTTTTACAAGGAACAACTTGTGCTAAAAAGAATTTCTCATTTTATTGAAGGAAGAGAAAATTACATATGTTTGAAAAAGAAAAGCTAAAAGTAAAATAACTTGAGATTGGCCGTATTCCATGGCCTAGGGATTGCCTTGCCATCCTTGTCTTCTAGGTGGTATGCGCCTTTGCCTGCTAAACCAACCACCTTATAAGGACCTTCCCAATTTGGGCCTAACTTGCCGTCTCCTGGGATCAAGGTGTTTCCCATTACTTTGCGTAGTACCCAATCCCCAATCTTGAATTGTCTTGGATGCACCTTTTTGCTGTATTTTCTGATTAACTCTCGTTGGTATGAGGCGATGTGGACTAGCGAACCAGGGTTACTTGGAAGATGACATGGGTCGTAAAAGCCAAATAAGAACTGCCAATATGCAATGTAGCTTTATGGTAGAGTCATCTAAAAGTTTTACCTAACTTTAACAGGATTCAATTCACCACGTGTTTTAAACAAACTGTCTTGTTCATTTTAATTGGCAAAAGCTAGTATAAGTTTACAAAAAATGTGAAGTATGTGGACAGACCTTATGACCATCGTGTTGGGATGATTCCCAGTACTTCAGATGCTTAATAGTAGCATGTGAGTTTGAAGCAATAGAGACCAGAAAAAAAAAAGGCACATCTGCAGCAGAATCACATGCGTTGGGCACTCCAATAAATAAATAAATAAATATAAAAAACAAATAAAAATGCAGCATAAATAAGATTTGAGTAAAAATACAGGGGGCATTCTACCTGTCGTTGCACTTGAGTTACACCACTCATTACAAGCTGCCGACAGCGATTCAGCCTGCATGCCACAACAATAACCTTTGGGTAAAAGATAATAAGAAAAATTAAATACCATACTCACAAAATTACTAACATTCACAACACCTCTTCCAGGCTTAACCACTGGGAAGCCGGTCTCAAATCAACCAAGGTTGCAGGAGGATCAAGCACCAGAGCAGGGAAAGCAAACCAATAATGAAAACTCCACTTTTTAAGGTCAGCAAATGATATAAGAAGGAACCTTGAAAGTACTGCACTGTCCTCCTCAGCTTTTCCAGAATGGATGTCCTCCCAAATCTGATATTCAATGAAAAACAAACTTGTGATATGAGACTTTTGTCTATTTGCTATATAGCAAGCCCCACCCACCCCTTTGCTACTTGAGCCGAGGCCCAGGGCCATTTGCAATCTGCTAAAAGGCTGTGGAACTGATAAGACTCTTCAATCAATTTGACAAACTCCACACAATAATACTTGCAAAAACAAAACACATGTATGAAAGAGTAAAATCTATTCGTATAAGAAAGATACCTTATTTGCCTCAGACTTTAGCAAGCTCTGTTTGTCAAGTGCATGGAAACCCTCCAACGTATTTGTGTTGAAAAGAATACCAGGGACAGAACATCTATTCCTATTGCCACGGCTTGTTGTAGTTACTAATGATTGCTCACTTGGTTCAGGTGGAAAGGATTCAGCAAGAAGAGTTAAATGATTTGATACTTGAGAATGTGAGCAAGGTGCATAGAAACCTGCCACATGATTATTTCACCCTTCAGGTGAACCTTGATATCTTTGAGATGAGGTACTTTTGAGCCTAACTTGAGATCTTGAGAGTGTGTATGTGTTGAATTATTGCTTAAAAGTGCTCTTCTCTTCAAGAGATATAAGGCTTTGCTTGTTTCATTGCTTTAGTTGCTTATTTTCTTACTATTTTTTCTGTATTTTTGGGCTGAAACTTGTACAAACGTGAGCTAGCCGGCGGGTGTGTGCCGGAAACCTCTCCGATGCCTAAGTCAGAAAACTTGACAAATAGACAAAGCTCTAAGTTCTCAGAAAGATTGTGTTCAATTACCTCCTCCAAGGTGATGCTTGTGAGCTTTTATAAGTTTCATATGGCACAATCCTAGTAGGACTTGTATTTCTCCATGTAGAGTCCTCCTAGGATTCATACTCTTAAGGATAATGCTTATCCTTTCACACCCTCCCCCACTCCTTAAACCAAGTGGGATGGTTTTCTCCATAGCCGAACTACCACATTGCCGAAATAACACTGGCTATGCTGAGCCACAGAGAAGGTCGAACTATCCTTAGCTTGGTCTTCTCCTTTAACTCATTACTTCGGCTGCCCCTGTTCAACCTTGGTGTGCTTAGATCAAACTTCCAAGTAACAAGTTTTGACCGACCTAACCAGATTGTGTTACGACCGGACTAATTCTGAAACCGGTCTTCCCAGAACATACTGCGACCGGATTAACTCTAAGACCGGCCCTACTCCGAGTTGTCTCTGGACCGGAGTAGCCTTACTCTTCCTTGGGCCGAAGTAACTATCTCTTCTTGAGCCGGAATAAACTCACCTCCTTGTGCCGAAGTAACTTTGTCTCCCCTAGGCCGGAGTAACCTTGCCCTCTAGGCCGGAGTATTCCGTACGGCCTTTTTACCTAGTCCTCTGCGTTTTGGGCCTCAAAACCCAACTCGAAGCTCGGCCCAATTTTCCCAAAAATTACCCTCTCAAGTCTCATTTAAGAATAGGTTATTTTAGTAATTTTTTAGCTATTTGGCTAAAATATGAGGTAAGAAAAACTAGTGTGTTTTGGATGACTTTTTTGACTTTTTACGAAAAGATGTGCAAAAAATAGAGAGAAAATGGAATTTTTGACTTTTTGGTATAATTTGTTGGCTTTTTAGTTTTTTTAGTAATTTTTTGACTTTTAGACTAAAACAACTACTTGCCAAACGAGGCCTTATTTAAATCTTATCATCTTATTTAAGTCACATTACCTCTCTATTACATCGCTTCAAACTCAACCCATATTTTATAAAAAGTCAAAAAGTACACTTATTTAGAACATCCCAAACAACCCCTTAGTACAAGGTTGTTTTGTGGTCTTCTTTAAATTTTACTTCTCAATTTTTTGGATAACTTATACTGACATTTTGTTGATTTTTTTGGCTTTCAAAAGTTAATTATATAATTTTAAGCGTGCTAGTAAGGATCAATAAATCTTTACAAAATTTATAATTACCAATTAATTATCAGATAATTGTGTTAAAGTTTTTTCAGCCTCAATGAAGATGACTTTTCCTGGTAGTTTGTTTTAAGATCAATTTATAAGAAATAACAGGTACAGAACAATTTAAAAACTGAATTTCATTGAATGAATAAGAACTTATAATGAAATGACCCAGTCTTGAAAAGATTTACAGCAACGACTAATTGAAAACTACTCCTAGAAAATGAAGTGCAGTACAAGAATTGAAATAATGAAAATGTAACGAGCTAGAAATATAAAACTGGAAAGAAAAATATGAAGTAAATGACTGGTTTCTGAATCTGAGTATGGGTCCTCTACAATGTAGTCATAAATGGCTATTTATAGGCAAATATTTGCAGGAAAAAACTACCTAATATTGCCATAAATGGCTATTTATGGCAATAACTACTCAATAACCTCCTAAAACTACCCACTCTTCCATCTTTATTCCCATAATGTCACATATCCCTCTATGTCTTCGTAACTTTCTTTAACTTCCAATTCATGTTCCACGTTCTCCATATTGTCCTCCATATTCTTCTGCATTATGCTCCATGATCCTCTACATTTCCCATCATTTTGTCACATATGTTTAATGATTCATAACTTCTCATAACCTCCAAATGAGTAGAAGAATGCCAAGTAATAATAAAATTGCAAATTTATGACGCCAACACATTTCTTTTATATTTTAAAAAAATTATAATAAATATTATAAATTTGATATAATTACATTATTATTATTAATATTGAGTATACCGGAAAGGAAAACAACAACAACACAGACCGAGTCCTTTTCTTAGATAGACCTAACATATGTACAACTAGCGGGCTTCTAAATTAAACTGGTGGTTTATTCACCATTAGCATTTCTTCTGGTTGATCTGTTCCAAACTTAGTCAATACATCAACACATAGATTTCCCTCATTCAATGTATGTTGCACAATACACTCACAACCTCTGAGTAGGATCTTTGCATCTTTCACCATATTTTTGAAAGGGGTGTTTTGAACTGGTTCTTCTTCCATCAGTTGCACTGCTAGAGCTGCATTAGTTTCAATGATCACTTTATTCATCTCTTTTTGCAAAATAACAGTTAGTCCCTTCTACAATACCCATAGTTCGATTTCTAGGCTTGTGACACTGTGTAATCTCTCATGGACTCTAGACTCTCTAGGCTTGTAACAGCGGTCAAAAATGGGGTGTCTACATGTATGTATTGAGTGATTGTATATAGAACCAATGTGTTTGTATACGTTATGTGTAGAGGAGGAGATGGGGGATGTACTCCGCGGTTTAGGGGAAGATAGGGGATGTACCTCTAAACCGGATAGTGTTGGGAGAAGATAGGGGATGAAGCATGCCACCTTCAAGGACCTAGCTTGGGAGGCTAGTGGCGAACATACTTTTGTCATTTTATTTTTGATGTATTACATGTAAATTCAAGCCAAGGGCTTAACGTGTAAATGAGTTAGTACTCTTTTGTTGTAACCGAGTGTTAACTTGGAAAGCTGTAAGCCCATGTGGCATTTGCTTTTGTTGTTAACATGTAATACTTTTTGTAATGAAACTTTGATAAATGGAAGAATGTGGAACTTTTACATATCAATGCATATCTTTATTGATGGGTTTAATGTTGTTATTTTGAGGGCGTTACAACTTGGTATCAGAGCGTACCGGGTTCGAATACTTTGGGTACATGGGAAGTGATTAGTATCACAATGGGTTTGTCTCGCTTGATAGAGACTTAGATGTAGTGTTATATG